CCCCCCCTTAGCTTTTTTTGCTCAAGTCTGGTGCTCTACCACTTGAGCCATAACACACCACTTCCGGCTTTTTCTGAGTAGTTTATTGGAGATAAGAGTTGCATGGACTTTCCTGCCTGGGTTGGATTTGAATCAGGATTCTCAGATCTCAGCCTCCTGAGAAACTAGGATTACAGGTATGAGCCCAGGTCCCTGACCCCTCAAATTGTCTTGTACATTAACAGATACAAGGCAGTCCTGCACAGCAGTTGCTTCCATGCGTTGGACAGGGAGGGAGGGAGGGAGGTTCCCAGAGACTGTCCTCACCAATAATCCTTGCCCTTTCCTCGCTGCAGATCAACATGTACTTGACCTCGAGAGTCCTGTTCGCCCTGTGCCGCCTGGCTGTGGAGAAGGGCTACATTCCTGAGGTCAAATGGAATGTGTTCTCTTTGCACACGGCAGTGATCTGGGGGCTGGTGCTGTGGCTCTTTGAATACCACCGGCCCACGCTGCAGCCTTCTCTGCAGTCCTCTATGACCTACCTGTACGAGGACAGCAACGTGTGGCACGACATCTCAGACTTCCTCATCTACAACAAGAGCAGCCCCTCCAAGTAACAGCGTCCCCAAGGTGCTTATGGGAACGCCTCCACCTGAACAACTTCCAGGCAGCGTCCAGTGCTGCTCCAAGTCTGGCTCCATCAGCAAACCCTCCTAGAGGATCTTGCCACCTCACAGTCACGGGCCTCACACTCCAACGCGTGTTAGCCCAGGGGTCCATGGGCTAGAATCAAAACACTGATTTTCACATCCCATAGGTGCTTTTGAATGGTGCAGCAGGTGGCTGGCTCAGCTTGAGGACTCTTAGCCTTGGTTTCCAGCCTCGCTGCTGAGCTTGTGAGGCCCCAGCAAGTCTTACCTTCTCTGGGCCACAGGGCACATTAGCTTAAAGGAAGACTCTCCTAGAGGAGGGTCTCTTTCTGATGGGTACAAATCATTCTTCCACTATGCTTAGTATCAGGGCTCCTTGCTGGTGGGCAGTGGGTTGCAAATACTTTTTTTTTAAAATACTGTTTCTTGTCTCAGGTGCTCTAATTGGAGTTCTAGAGCTCACTGTCCCTTAGAAAAAGCCTGATATGTGTGAGGCTCTAGGTTCTGTCTCCAGCACTGCAGAAAAAAATTTTTTTTGTGTTTATTTTCTAGCATCTACTTTTTTAAAAATACAAAAGAGGCTGACTCAGGAGGATCTCAAGTTCCAGGCCAGCCTGGGCTACATAGCAATGTGACATTCATCTTAGTTCTATATTTTAGCTTAATATGCTCAAATACTATTTTTAACATACAATTACATAAAAATTGATGAATTATTTTATATTTTTTTTTCTTGTCCTAAGCCATAGCACATAAAGCTAGTAGCTTTCTGCCAGGTAATACAGATTCTGACACTTGAGAGGGTAGTGCACATTGTAGACCTACGGCTACAGTGGAGGAGGCTCTTCACCGTTCAGAGCCTCAGTTTCTCATAAAATGAGAGTAACCATAGTCACCGCAGGTGTGCATATTGAACCTTTATGACTATAGCTGCTGCCTTCTGCCAGTGGCTTCCTGACTCCTGACTCCTTTGCACATGTCATCTTTTTTTTTTTTTTTTCAGTTAGTTGTGGGGCTTGAACTCAGCGAGAGCACTGCCCCTGTGCTTTTTCCACTCAAGGCTAGTGCTCTGCCACTTTGAGCCACAGCTCCACTTCTGGTTTTCTGGTGGTTCATTGGAGATAAAGAGTCTCACCGGGGCTGGGAAGGTGGCTCAGTGGTAGAGCGCTTGCCTTGCATGCATGAGGCCCTGGGTTCAATTCCTCAGCACCACATAAGCAAAAAGAAAAAGCCAGAAGTGGCGCTGTGGCTCAAGTGGTAGAGTGCTAGCCTTGAGCTGAAGAGCTGAGGGACAGCGCCCAGGCCCAGAGTTCAGGCCCCATGACCGGACCCAAAAAAAAAAAAAAGAGTCTCACCAACTTTCCTGCCTTCAAATTGCAATCCTTGGATGACTTTCCAGCCTTCAAACTGCAGTCTTCAGATTCCAGCCCCCTGAGTAGCTAGGATTTCAGGTGTGAACCACCAGCTCCTGATCTATACCTTATCTTTATAATGACCTTGAAAGTATCTATCTTGATTCTCATTTTATAGATTTGGAAACTGAGGGTCAGAAAGAAGGAAATCACTTGGCCAAAGAAATATAACTAAGCATATTAGCCAAGACAGTCTGATTTCAAAGCCCTTGTTTCTTTTTCAGTGCCTTACTTTAAATTTAGAAACCTAAGCCATATATTGCAAATGTTATCAGGTTATAGGAGCTGGCGTTTGAGACAAACTCAACGTGCCTGCACAAGCTTTCAGTGGCATAAATGGAAATCTTCAGGGGTGCTTTGTAGCAGAGAAGCACAATGAATTGGAGACTTATATGGGAGATCTTTTTTCTTTTTTTGGTTGGTTCTGGGGCTTGAACACTGGGCCTGGGTGCTGTCCCTCAGCTCTTCAGCTCAAGGCTAGCACTCTACCACTTGAGCCACAGCGCCACTTCTGGTTTTCTGGGGGTTAATTGTAGATAAGAATCTCATGGGCTTTCCTGCCAGGGCTGACTTTGAACTATGATCCTCAGATCTCAGCCTCCTGAGTAGCTAGGACTGCAGGCGTGAGCCACTGGCACCTGGCAATTTGAAATTTTTGAAACCACCACCCTAGACAAGTCTTCAGGAAAATAAGGCCCCTGGGTACCAATTTGAGACCTTTGGTCTACTAGAAATACTTCTGTGGAACTTCCTCATAAGTCTCTATCTCTTAGAATGTCTCTTGGGTTAATGGAGAGCTTATTTAAAACACAAGTTCTGACTCAGTGGGATTGGGCTGGGCGACGCTTTTTTCTGATTCAAAGGTGGCCCTGGTACTGCTGCTCTGAGCCACTCCCCCTCCCCAACCTGAGTTATGAAGTAGTTGGGGATGATATAGGAGCAACCATTATTAATTATCTCATGTGACCAGCCAGTCAGCTGTTGGGTAATGAATGTGGGCTTATGTCTGGTTCTACAGTGTTCACAGCCACGATGGACTACTACAAGCTCACAGCAAATTTTTTTGTAAGTGTGTGCCAGTACTGAGGCTTGAACTCACGACCTTGCACTTTTCGCTGGGATTCTGTTTGCCTAAGGCTGTCACTCTAACCACTTACGCTACACCTCCAGTTCCAACATTTTGCTGATTCATTCTCCAATGAATAAGAGTCTCACTAATTTTTTCTGCCTGGGCTGGCTTCAGATTGCAATCCTGAGCTCTTAGCCTCCTGAGTAGCTAAGTTTCCAGGTGTGAGCCACCAGTGCCTGGCTCACAGCAGATTTTGAAGATCTTTTTTTAATTTTTTTCCTATTCCCACCTTGGAGGTTGTAGGTAGGGTAGAGAAGAGGTCAGTTATGGCCAGGCTAGTTTTCTAGCAGAGGGTGAGGGCACCCTGCCTCTGTCCTCTTCAGTTTACCAAGTCTGTGCACACCAGCAACCTCTGGTGCTACCCCACATCTCTCTGCCGGAGGACTCTGTTTGTCACCAGGGCCTGCAGCAGGCCTTAAGTGCTGGGGACAAATTTGCCCCTGAAGCAACCTCAAGTAAGGGCTGAGATGTGACTGCCAGGAGCCCTGGCCTGTGGGTAGGATAGCCTTGGGGCACAGGCTTTGCTTTGACTCCCTGAGCTGGTAGCTGATACTATGTCCTCTCACTTTCCTACCTCCCTGCCTCTCCCCTTCCCTCCTTCCCTCTGGGCCAGTGCTTTCTGGGACTGCATAATGCACTTCTCTTGGGGGGTTGCTATTGTGGGGTCTCCAACAAAACTGGCCTATTTCCTCATCTGCAAGGTAGGCCTTCTAACAGCCTGCAGCTCGTGGGGCCTGGAGATTCAATGGTATGACTTGTGCAGTGAGCACTCAATAAATGTGGCTGTCATTTCTGACATTGTGTGCAGACGTGGATGGAAGTGGGGTCCTGAGAGTGGAGTACACCCCAGTTTTAGTCTGTTCTGCTCACCCCCAGCTGAGGGTAAAGCCTGGCCACCTGCCCTCCTGAACACTTTCCCCCCACCCCCCAGTGCTGTAGAAGGATGGGGGGAGGTGCCACCGCCCACTGTCTCTGCTCTCTAAGAATAGGCTTCCCTCACAGATGGCATCTCTCTGGCTCCTGCCAAAGCATCTGGTGCCTCCAACTGCACACTCCAGGGAGGAAGGCGGGGTGGTCCCCACTGAAGAGCAGGGCTCTGCTTCTAGCAGCCCTGGGAAGAACCCTGCTCAGCTCCTTCCTTGCTGAGCCTCCATTTTCTATAGTCTGTAAAATGGGGATTGCCAAAAGGCCCTTGCTGCTCCTAAACTGGCAACGTGTTTTAACCTGCACTTCTTAAACACCTGATACATTTATATCAAGTCTTTTGACATGGGAGACTGTAAAAAAGAAAGACAAAAAAGTATGCCTGTGCACGCGGGCATGCGTGTGCACACACACACACACAGTACAAAACTCAAGCAGCAGGGCTGGGAAGGTGGCTCAGTGGTAGAGTGCTTGCCTTGCATGCCTGAGGCCCTGGGTTCGATTCCTCAGCACCACATAAGCAAAAAGAAAAAAGCCGCAAGTGGCGCTGTGGCTCAAGTGGTGGAGTGCTAGCCTTGAGCTGAAGAGCTGAGGGACAGTGCCCAGGCCCAGAGTTCAGGCCCCACGACTGGACCCAAAAAAAAAAAAAAAAACTCAAGCAGCAAAAAAAAGTGGGTAATGGGGAAAATTTGAGATCCCTTCTACTTCTGAGTGTGTTCCTTCTGGAATATACCCCTAACAGTGGGATCCCTGTTGTTAGCACTTTGTGGACCAACCTACACAGTTTCTCAGGTGTTTCTTATCTCATACTAAAAGACCACACTGCAGTGTCATCCCTGTCATCTCCTCCTGCCCTCCGTGTGTCCCATTAGTCTTTGATTAATATACTCGTTTATTTTTCCTTTTCTTTTTTTTTGTCGGTCATGGGGCTTGACTCGGCCTGGGTGCTGTCCCTCAGCTCTTCAGCTCAAGGCTAGTGCTCTACCACTTGAGCCACAGTGCCACTTCTGGTTTTCTGGTAGTTTATTGGAGGTAAGAGTCTCACGGACTTTCCTGCCTGGGCTGGCTTTGAACCGTGATTCTCAGATCTCAGCCTCCTGAGTAGCTAGGATGACAGGCGTGAGCCACTGGCGCCTGGCTCACTTCCAGGTTTTTCTGAGTAGTTTATTGGAGATAGGAGTCTCACAGACTTTCCTACCCCACTGGCTTTGAACCACAATCCTTGTCCTCCTGAGTAACTAGGAGCCACTGGTGCCCGGCTAATATACAAAGGTCAGCCTGTTTATCCCCTCCCCCAGCTCGACCTGCTGAATAGTGTGGGCACGTCGTCACCAGGATCAGCATAAAGTCCTGAGGGACCCCAGGTGTCCTGAGCCTTCTTCCAGTGTCCACCCCCTTGGAACTCGCAAGCGAAGGGCAAGGACACAAAGGAAGTTAATTTGAGGTCTATTGCTGTTCCTCTCCCAAATTAGAGGTGGTTAAGCCAGCATGTGTGAGCGTGATGATTCATTGGCTGACAAGCCAAGAAGCTGCCTTGTTTGATGCTCGCCGGCCTTCCACATCTAGGCTCCAGAAGGCATCCTGGAGATGACAGCTCTTTTCCCAGTGTTCCTTTTAGCTGCTGAGTGGATGAGTGCAGTCCAGGCTTGGGAGATGCAGGCTTTGAACCTGATATCCTCCTAAACCAGAACACAGTGTGCTGCGCCTCCTCCAGCCTGCCAAGTGCACCCCTCCACAAGCTATGACCTCAGACAGTTGCTTTCTTTGACAAATTAGAAGGTATTTATGAAAAAAACAATTTGCTTTTTCTTCCCCTTGTTCCAGATTCCCAAGGGGAGAATGTCTTACTGCAGATGTGAGGGCATTTTACTGCAGATGTGGGGGCATTTTGGAGGGAGGGGTTTTTGTTGTTATTTTGTTGAACTCCAGGCCTCTTGCTCTCATTAGTTGTGTTTTTTTGGTTGTTTGTTTGAGGCTGGCACTCTACAATTTGAACCATAGCTCTACTTCCAGCTTTTTTGCTGGTTAATTGGAAATAGTCTGACAGACTTCTCTGCCTGGGGCTAGCTTTAAACTATGATCCATAGATCTCAGTCTCCTGAATAGCTAGGATTATAGACATGAACCACTGGTGCCCAGCTGGAGTGATGTTTTCTGTTTTTGTTTTTTGTGCCAGTCCTGGGGCTTGAACTCAGGGTCTGGGTGTTGTCTCTGAGTTTTTGTGCTCAAGGCTAACACTCTACCAATTGAGCCATAGCTCTGTTTTCAGCTTTTTGTTGGTTAATTGGAGATAAGAGTCTCATGGACTTTCCTGCCTGGGCTGGCTTTGAATTGTGATCCTCAGATCCCAGCCTCCTGAGTAGTTAGGGTTACAGGCATGAGCCCTGGTGCCCCACTTTGGAGTGAGAGTTTTTTTTTGTTTGTTTTTTGTTTTTGGAGTGAGGGTTTTGACAGTACACAGAAGGTACCCCTGCAAGCTTGCTCTTGGGAACAGGAAGTGGAACTGGCCCAGGAAGTGGAGAAAGAACTGAGCTCTTCTGAGTAGTGGTTT